TTTGGCTTAGTTTTTCAGATCTTTGCTGTGGAGGGATGGTGTGGTGCTTCTCAAAATGTGTATAAATTTTTGAATGAGAAATTAACTTGAGCTGTAAACTTTCACCTTCCTCAGCACATTGACTTTTCATCCTCATTCTTATTGCATTATGGTCACAAGATGGCTGACGGGTGCTTCAAGCATCTTTTCCCCTATGCTGTAATCACAAGCAATAAGGAAAGGAATAGGGCTATGCCAGCCAGCTCACCTCATATTCCATGTGTCTTCTTAATCCAGGACTGGATGGCGATGACTTCCTGGCAGTGGGTCTGCAGAACGGCAGTGTGGTTTACAGCTATAACCTGGGATCTGGCATAGCAAGTATCAGGAGCAAGCCCCTTGATCTGAGCCTTGGAATACACACAGTCCATCTGGGGAGGTTCTTCCAGATGGGCTGGCTGAAGGTAAAGGGTCATCACAAACTTATTGAGAGACTACTATATTGTAGGATCTGCGCTAAGGTACAGAGGCAAATAGGCCATGCTGCCTACCGTATGAAGCTCCCAGACTAGTGCACAAAATAGAGAAATAGAAGGATAATTGGAATTCAGTGGTGTGGGAATAAATAGCAGCAGCGCCTAATACAGATAAGAGTGGGAGTGAAGCGTTCAGGAAATACCTTCTGGAAAAGATGACATTTAAGCATAGCTTTGAATATGTTACTAGTTGCTATCAAGTAAATTCTGACTCATGCCAATCCCATGTGTGTCAGAGTAGACCTGTGCCCCACAGGGTTTTCAGTGGCTGATTTTTCAGAAGTAGATCTCCAGGCTTCTCTCCCAAGGCACCTTTGGGTGGAATCGAACTTCCAACCTTAAGGTTAGCGGCCAAGCATGTTAACCGATTGCACCACCGAGGTACTCCTTAAATAAATAAGAATTTGGAAAAAGAATAGTGGCCACAGTGTGGGCTTAAGGAAGGCAATTAGTACAGTGTGGCTTTTAAGTGAAGGGGAGCAAAAGATGTAGTTACAGGTAGACAGAATCCACATCATCAAACGGCTTAAATTTCATGCTAAGAAGTTTAAATTTAAAACTACTGAGAAGTTTAAGAACGGGGTAGGGTACCATGGTCAGAGTCCCATTTTTTAATAAATGACTCTTGTGGTTGTATTAAGAATGGATGGGTGTGGGGGCAAGGCTAGATGGAGCCTGGGAACCAGCATGATGCCAACTCCTAATCTTTGAAGAATTGAGATTTTGATTAAAATGCAAAACCACGACTGCTCTAATAATACATCCATGGTAACAAACACCAGCAGAGAAGCAGAGAATTGAGTGGCATGGTTTTTTTTTTTTTTTTTTGGTCCTTCAAAATTCAGGTCATTGTAAATTTTTCATGCCAAGTTAATGTGAAATAACAAAAGAATATCTTAACAGTTCACTGTGGGGAATTAATTCTCTTATTTAATAAGTTTTGATTTTTTTTTTTCCTTTTGAAGGTAGATGATCATAAAAATAAATCTGTCATCTCCCCAGGAAGATTGTTTGGTCTCAACATCATCAGTCTATTTTATGTAGGTGGCTACAGTGAATACATCCCAGATCTCTTACCATATGGAGCTGATTTTAAAAATGGCTTTCAAGGTAAGGCATGGACAGTTTTTGTACTGTATCTACATGTTTCAAATATTTGAGAAAGGACAAAGCTTTTAAAGAGTGTACTTCTAGTTCCAGAAGTCAGCTATCTGTATTGCTCTCTAACCTGACACTATCAAAATTTGCTTTTAATCAGACGTGTTCATTCGTTCGTTGTTTATGGATCACTTACTACATGTTAGGTGCTATATTAGGTGTTTGGGATGCTTCAATGAACAAAATAAAGAACAGTGAACTGTACTTGTGAGTTTACATTTTAGCTGGGGGGAGAGGGTGGCAGGGCAGACAATAAACAATAAATATAATAAATAAGTAAATGATATGATAGTCTAAGGTGATAAAGGGGCCCTGGTGGCACAGTGGATAAAGCACTCAGCTCCTAATCAAAAGGTCAATGGTTCGACCCCATCACGGGCTCCTTGGAAGAAAGATGTGGCAGTCTGCTTCCATAAAGATTTACAGCCTTGGAAACTCTATGGAGCAGTTCTACTTTGGCCTATAGGGTTGCTGTTGTTGTTGTTAGGCGCCCTAGAGTCAGTTCTGACTCATAGCAACCCTATGTACAACAGAACAAAACACTGCCCGGTCCTGCACCATCCTCACAATCATTGTTATGCTTGAGTCCATTGTTGCAACCACTGTGTCAATCCATCTCATTGAGGCTCTTCCTCTTTTTCACCGACCCTGCTGTTTACCAAGCATGATGTCCTTCTCCAGGGACTGATCTCTCCTGATAACTTGTCCAAAGTATACGAGACATTGTTTCACAATCCTTGCTTCTAAGGAGCATTCTGGTTGTACTTCTTCCAAGACAGATTTGTTCGTTCTTTTGGCAGTCCATGATAAATTCAATATTCTTCACCAACACCACAATTCAAAGGCATCAATTCTTCTTCGGTCTTCCTGATTCATTGCCCAGTTTTTGCAAGCATATGAGGTGACTGAAAATACCATGGCTTGGGTCAGGCCACATCCTTCAGTATGGATTACACCACAAGGTTGCTATGAATCCAGAATCTATTCAACAGCTGTGGGTTATAAGGTGATAAAATATATGGAAAAAGAAGGAATAGAGCATGGTATGGGAGGATCAGAAGTGTTGTTTTTTTTAATTTAGGATGTTTTTTAATATAGGGAGAGCAGGGTAGACCTCATGGAGTCATGGTAAAAGTTGGAAACTCCATCTGACTTTGGAATGTACTTGATATAAAAAGGTCAGACACAGACTGCAGCCACCTAGTCCATCCACCAATTTATGCCCCACAGAGGTCACTGCAAGCCAAGAAGATTAAGGGGGAACACTGTGCTTGGGTGAGCAATCTTATTGCCATATTCTCTCTCCCTGTGTTCAAAAAGGAACATAGTCTGGAAACCTCTGGCCTGGGCTTTACCTTCCACAGCCCAGCCTCTGAGCATCCCGGCAGAATGGACACCCTCCGCAGCTCCATCCCAGGCCTGCCTGCCTTCCCTTCCAAATCAGCATTCTCCACCACCCCGTCCCTGCACCAATGACTTAGGGATAAGTGGTGTCTGCTACCATCACCTCTTAAAAAAAGTACATGTGAAGTGGGTGGGGGTGATATAAGGGAAAATAAATTCAACTGTGTCTTAAAAAAATAAAGTAGAAACATAGGATCAGTCGATTCCTACAAAGCTGACTCATAAAGTTAAAAAACCAGGGTGTGCTTTGATTATTATAATGCAGTTGGTGAAAATAAACTGGTGGATCCTAGCCCCAGAGTATTTGATCAAGAGGATGCTTATTATGGTGTCCTCAGCCACTACCCATGACCAGACTACTCATCATTAGAAGCCAAGGAATAGAAACCAGGATGGGATGCACATCCGTGTAAGACAGGAGCTGCCATCAAGTGCCACCTTGGGCCTGGCAGCACTCTCCCCACCCCGTCCACTGACTTCTGCCTCAACATGAATGCAGAAGGTCATGTACTTGAAACATGAAAGCAACACAGCTAACCCAACATAATACAAGGCCAAGTTCCAATGAAATCATTTCATTCCGCTGAGGCTCTCACAGAAACTTTTTCTTTGAATATATAATGAGTGCTGATTCTCAGAAAAGTGTCTTAAAGAACAGTTTTAAGCATATCACAGCACTAGGCAAAATGTAACCGAGAGCTCAACAGTTCTTTCACAGTAAGAGATAATCTGAAAAGGACTGTAAGCACATAACAAATCAATCAGTTTTTAAAAATATTATATTCAAGGGAAGGGGGGAGTAAGCTGTTGAATGTAAAAGGAGCACGCCTTCCGCTTAGTGAAGCAGAGATCCCGTGCAGGTCATCAAAACATTCTGTCATTTATTCACAGACGCAATGCTTACACAAGTACTTTGAATAATGTTTCTGCATTAGAAATTAGAAAATAGTACCGCATCATGGATAAGAGTGTGGACTCTGAAATCCAACGACCTGATTATAAGCCCTCTGCCACCTGCAAGCTCAGGACCCTGGCTAGTCATCTATCTTCTCTTACTATGTAGCTCTGAGAATGAATTAGTGGAGAGAGAACACATATTAGTGTGTGGTTTATAGAGGGTCCTATGTGCTAACTGAAAGGTCGGAGGTTCCAGTCCACCTAGAGGTGTCTTGGAAAAAAAGGCCTGGTGATAGACTTTCAAAAAAGCAGCCATTGAAAACCCAATGGAGCGTAGTTCTACTTGGACATACAAGGGGATGCCATGAGTTGGGGGTCAACTTGATAGCAGCTAACAGCAACAAGGCACCAGGGATGACAGCGGTGTTGGTGGTGGGGAGTGACACAGCTCCAGTCAGACACTTAGTCCCCTTCTCGGCTACACAGACAGTGGTATGAGCACAGGCTCTGGCGTCAGATTGTATTCAGACCCAGGTTCTGCCACCTAGCAGCTAGTGACTTTTAGCCTATTACTTAAACTCTCGGAGCCTCCATTTTCTCCTCTGTAAAATAAAAATACTTACTTTATATGGTTCTAATAAGTGAATCAGTTAAGTAAAATAATTATGTTAAGTGCTTAGCCAAGCAACTAACCCAAAACCAAACCCACTGCAGTCGAGTTGATTCCAACATAGCGACCCTGTAGGACAGAGAAGAACTGCCCCCATAGGGTTTCCAAGGCTGTAAATCTTTATGGAAGCAGACTGCCACATCTTTCTTCTGTGGAGCAGCTAGTGTGTTCGAACCACTAACCTTTTGGTTAGCAGTCAAGCACTTTAACTACTGCACCACCAGCGCTCCTTAAATACTCGATAAATGTTAACTATTACTCCATCCTGTTGTCATAGGATTTGATATTTTCAAATATATTGAAGTCCAGTGCTGCCTGGTTTCCTTTTATGTTACTTCTCCCTTCTATTAGGACTTTCTTCATATCTTGACAATAGAATGAAGAAAGGCATTCACCAAGACCTGGAATTGTCCCCTTGAGGGTGGCAATGACCTTGAGTTCAGCACACACTCAGCTGGCCCTTCTGACAGAAACACTAGGATCGCATACGCATACTCATGAAAGCCTGTCAGCTGCCAGTTAGTGAGGATGGGACTCCTTTGAAGGTCTTCTTGGCAACTGCCACTTAATCTGAGTCTCCAGGACTTTGAAAGCCTCTAATTTTAATACTCATCTCTTGAATTCTTTCTTGGTGTCTATCATCCCTCCATTATAAACTAGCATTTACAAATAACAGCAAATTATATCTAATTATTATCAATTTACCTTAGTAACTAGATTACAACTGTACCCTAATCCCACTGTTCCCAAAAGCTGATCCTTACTGGCTCTGTAAAAATGATATAGGGTATTTCAAATGGAAGCAAGTGGCAGCATTTGGGAAGAATCTAATTGAAATGTCTAAACTGGAAACAAAGCATGCCAGGAACAATTTCTCCCTCTTGCAAAGCTGCATTGACTTGTTCAGGAATGACTGATCTGCCTTTATTCTGAATGAAGTAAAGGAAACAGAATGAATGTGAAAGCCAGCATCACTTGTACTTAAATCATTAGCCACAAAAGATTTATTAGTTTTTGTCCTCGACTTAAAATGATGTGAATAAATACTTGGAATTCTAGAAATCTTAACACTTAACCATGTTGGTTTAAAACTATTTTTATTGCATGTTACTTGGACATAACTAATCTTTTCCTTATGCATTTAATAACTCAAAGTAGGCAGAATCTAATTACTGGGTTCTCCTGTAATTTGTCTTTAGTGATTAAGAAAGGGTGTAGGAAACATATACCTTCTGGAAACAGGTATAAGAAATTGCCTGGCACGTTTGTCTTGCTGTTTCATGTGTCCATGTCCCCACAAACTGAATATTTTAGGGTAGGGGTCAGTTACTACAAATTATTCAGCTACTTATCACAGGTAACAGACATTCCATTCCTTAAGCAGGTGTTGTTTCTCCCTGTTGATCTCATGATTCTTTAGTCACCTCATACGATGAGAGCAAGACATCTCATTTATCCTTATACACCCTTCGCAGCTCCACTTTTGTAGTTGGGAGATAAATATCTGAGGGGAGAAAATTATACTAACATGGCTTATTTTCTTATGTAATTTAAGGTTATTAAATTTATTTCCTCTCCTATACATATAAGGAATTTTTTTTCCCAAGACATCTACTTTCTAGTCCAAATACCTTCAGCTCTTTGTACAGGATAACTAGTGATAATTATATAAATCATCAAAGAATGTATTTTAAATAATCAGAAAATCTTGTCTTTTATGTTCTTACTTAAGAATTTTAGGAGGAAAAATCTTTCACCAAACCTTGTAGTTGGTTTATTAAATCACCAATAATTTAAGTTGCTGAAGATACCTTGGAGCCCAGGTGGTGCAATGTTAAGCACTTGGCTGCTAACTGAAAGGTTGGTGGTTGGAACCTACCAGCCACTCAGCAGGAGGAAGATGTGGCAGTCTGCTTCCATAAAGTTTTATGGAAACTCCATGGGGCAATTCTACTCTGACCTATAGGGTCTCTATGAGTCG